GGATTTGAACTGCCAACCTTTTGGTTAGCAGCCATAGCTCTTAACCACTGCACTTAACCACTTGTTAAACTGTAGATTCTGATTCAGTATAGTTATATATTCAGTACATATTTCCGAATCAGAATCTGTAGATTCAATTTGCATTTTCAGAAATGCAAATTTTCAGCAGGAGGTCGAACCAGAATGAACCCCTTCGAAGCCCGGGGATAAAGTCAGGGGCAGGGCAGAGGGTGTGGGGAGCCAGTAAGTAATTTCACTCACCTCCAGGAGGAAAGGTTTGCATGTTATCATCGCAGATGTGCGGAATATCTGTAAGAAGAGAGGGGAAACTAGGAGGACCACTTATGGCTGCCCCACTCTTCCTTCTCTAGTTTCAAGCCTACAGGGCTACTAAGGGCTAGGACCCTCCCCCGCAGTTGCCTCCCCCAACCTTTTCCTCTGCCTCCATTGCTGGAAGTAATTTTTTTTTCCTCTGCAAATAGTCTCCTATGACAATACATTCTACCTTATATTATACTAGTGGTGTCCCTGTTTCCTCCATTGGCTGTAGATTCTTGAGAGTAAAGGCTGGTGCTTGTTCATCTTTGTGCTTCACCCCCTTGCCCCCCTCCGCCCCCAGCTAACACAGTGCCCAGAACACAGGAGATGCTCAGAACCCAGGAGTCCCATCACCCCTCTCTCCAGAGCAAGCCCTGTATTTCTGTCCCCAGCAGGTGGCTCACAATACACTGCTTCACTCATTCCCTGACATTGCCACCGGAGCGGACCAAGCTGCCTTGGTATTGTGAGGGTAATTCTCATCTTTGGGGGAGAAGATGCTGGTCTCTGCTCACCCCACTCATCTTTGCCATTGACCATCAGCTGTCTCACTCGGAAGGCCAGGACGCAGCCTTTGGGGATGGTGACAGTCTCCTTGTGGTTTACGGATCCCTAGGATTAGACAATGAAGATTTGTGAATCTGCAGTTATTGTAAGTATGAGATGCTGGGAGCATGGGGTAGGGGAGCAGGTGGAAGGCCAGGCCTGAGAGCCTGTGGGGAGAGTAGAAGTTGGGAACATTTCAGTGGTGTTCCTGATCATCTTTTCCCTGTAGAATGGGCTTCAAAGCCCTTGCTCTCATTTCCACTGAACTCTCCCCCCGACCCCGTGACTTGTATCCCTCTTCCTGGTTCAGTCAGTTGCATGATGGGAACTGGGCAGATCTGCTCCAGCCTGCCTTGTGCATTTCCCTGTCCCATTTTAGAGCTTCCATTCAGGTCCTGGTTCCTTTGTCCTTTTTGTCATCTTCCCAAGCTCTCCTCTTTCAGGAAGCTTTCCAAGACTAACCCCTACCCCAGCTCCAGCTCATCCCATAACTATTTATACAAATAGAGATAGGTATGTATAGCATTACTTAAGGAGCCCTGGTGGTGCAACAGTTAAGCACCTAGCTGCTAACTGAAAGGTTGGTGGTTTGAACATACCCAGCTGCTCCACGGGAGAAAGAACGGGTGATCTGCTCCCTTAAAGATTACAGCCTAGAAAACTCTGGGGGCCATTCTACTCTGTCACATGGGGTCGCTATGAGTTGAAAATCAACTCTACGACACCTAACAACATAAAAACCAAAAACCAAACCCGTTGTCATCAAGTTAAGTTCGACTCATAGCGACCCCATAGGACAGAGCAACTGCTCCACAGAGTTTCCAAGGAGCTGCTGGTGGATTTGAACTGCAAACGTTTGGTTAGCAGCCGATCTCTTAACCACATAGCATTACTTATTTACCTTCAATTTTCCAAGCTTGTGTTCTCTGGGCTTTAACCTACATGTCTCCTTCATGAGACTGAGAACGTCCTGAGGGAAAGGAGGTCTCCCCTTTAGACTGGGAGCACCATGAGGGAAAAACCACGACTCTTAATTTCCCCTTCCCTGATATTTTTCTGTGGCATCTGGCACAGGGATCTGCCCGTATTAGGTGTCACTTGCCAGAGAGGGGGAGTATGTCTGGCCAACTGGGGCCTGAATTTTGAGGAGCAGGGAAAAGGATTGGGTCCTTTTCAGTATCCCATGTGGGCACTGATCAGGCAAAGTTAACCCAGCCTCTGAGGAGTGGCTGAATGTGAATATGTGTGAGTGTGAGAGCATGTATGTGTGTGCATTTGAACCAAACCTGTAGCCCCAACGGGGCGAAGAACGGGAGGGAGAAACACCCCTCTGCTTTGCCAGCTCTCTCCAGAGTGACCTCCTGGACGGTCTCCACCACCTCCATCACCATGTACAGGTTCTCTCCTTGATCTCGCATCTCCTTCAGGAACGGGTGCTCTTCTGCCAGCTTCCTGTGGCAGGAGAAACATAAGGGAACTGTTCAGAGCTTCTCCCTGCACTGGGCCATGCCCTTCTCTGTTTTCTTTCGTTCCTAGGAGCTAGACTTCGTGGTGTCAGGTAAAGAGTGAGACTCTGGCCTAAGATTGTAGTTGGAAACCCAGATCTACCACCTAGAAGCAGGGCAGCTTCTCTGAGACGACTCATCTATAAAATGAGGATAATGCCACCTACCTCCAGGGTTGTTGAAAGATAAAATTGTAATCAGCTGGCACAGCACCTGGCCTGGAACAGGACCTCATGCTTGCTTCCTTCTCCCCTTTCACCCCCACCCCAGAGTAGATTCCCCCTCCCCTCCCACCTGGTTCTTAGCCCTGTTCATCTCTTCTGGGATCTTTTTTTCTCCATCTCTTATTGTCTCTCTTGCTCCTAGTTCCTCCTCTCCAGTGCTCCTCTTGTTTGCTTATGAATATAAACATGTCCCTGATCCTGAAAATACACTTTCTTTGACTTTGCTACTCCCTCAAATTAGCATTCTATTTCTTTCCTTTATCTCACTGGCACATTTCTCAAAAGATATGTCTATATTCACTGTCTTTACTTCCGCACTGCCCACTCCTAAATTCTTTATTATCTGGCTTCTATTTCCACTACTCAACTTTAATCACAGTGACCCCCTACCCACCAAAGACCTTCTCTGCCTCTTCCCTAATGACATTGGGCCCTGCTATCCAAACCTTCCATGTGGCTCTGTCTTCTCTTTGCTTCCAATCACTCTACATCACCCTGGTTCTACCTCCATCTCTCCGGCTTCTAAATCCTATTTATTCTGTCTTCATCCCATTTTCCAGTTTCTTTGGTTCCCTAAAATTTTATGTTCTGTAAGATTCTGTTCTTACTCCTCTGCTCCCCAAACTCTCTTTAAAAGTCCCCTGCTCCCCATTCCTATAGTTTTAATCTTTATACTGCTGACCTTGACTTCTTGCCTGATCTCCAGGCCCTCATTTCCAAAGGGAACTCATAGTCTTTCTCCCCAAATACACTTCTAGCCTCTGTCTTCCTGTTTCTGTTAATGGTGCCACCTGGGTAAAATTTCAGAGTTATCTTTGACAAAACCCTCTCCCTCACCCTGCAATCAGCTTCCAAGTCCAGTCTGTTCTATCTCCCCACAGGCCTTGCATCCATTCTCCCCTCTTCATTCCCACTGTTGGCCCTAGCTTAGGTCCTCATGACATCTCTGATGGATAGTGGCACACTGTCTTTCCTGGTCTGCCTGCTTCAAACCCCTACTCTCTTCCTTTACCTGGCACACTTCCTCCATCTGGCCAGATTAATAATGACACACACCAGAGCATTGTCAGGGTCTCCCTGGTGCCTACAGAATAGTTGAGTGTCCTTGGCCTGGCATCTGGGTTCTCCATGATCTAGGTCCAGCCTACATCTTCTGATTGTTCCACTCATATCTTTTCCACACCTGCCAAACTGGCTATTCATGTTCCCTTATAGGTTTCAAGATTTCTCACCCATGTGTCTTTGTAATGCTCTTCTCCCAGCCCCACATGTCCAATTTCTACTCATCTTTCAAGGCTTAGATCATAGGCTGCCTCCTCTGTGAAGTCTTCCCTGATTTCCCAAGCTAGAAGACCCACCACAAAACTCGGCTGAACCCCTCCTATGGCACTTACTACTTCTTGCCTTGGATTATTGCTACTGATATAGGTTTTTTCCCCATACTCTAGATTGCAGGGTTCTTGGGCAAAGAAGTTCTAGGTGTACCCCAGCACCTAGCAGGCTGCTTTGTAGTCAGTGAGAGCTACATAAATATTTACTGGATGAATTCCAAGCACCCTGGCCCTCCTTACCAGCTCCATGGTCCTCACTTCTTCCTCTCCACTACAACTTAACTACTTAAAAGTCAGTTACCCTGTCAAGCCAAACATCTGAGGGGCCTAGCATCGAAATCACACCTGCCACAGCCCTTGTGCTGCCCAGGGCAGCATTCCTATGTGCGTCCCTGGTGCGTGTATATGGGCCAGGCAGGAGCCTTCACTTATGGGAGCTGCAGTGGGGAACAGTTAAGATCTCTTCCCTTTCTAGTTTCTTTCATAGAATCTTAGAGTTGGAAGGAAGCTCAGAGATTATCATCCAACCGCATCATTTTTCAGGAAAGAAAATTGAAGTCTTGAGAGGAGAATTGACTTTTCCAAGGTTACACAGCAAGATCATGTACACGCACTCAGACTTGCCTGTGTGCGTGTGTGTGTGGTAGTGAGGAGGTGGTATTGGAGGTTGAGGAAGGATGGAGGAGAGTGGTCAGGGAATGGCCAGACAGGTCATCTTCCAACAGCTCCCCGGTGGTGGTCACATGGGTGAAGCTCAGTGTGAAGGCCCTGCAGCACCATTTCCATGCACTGCCCCATCCCATCCTGGGACCTCCCCCCAGCCCTGCCCACTCTCACCTCTCCTTTTGCAAGCTCTCCAGGGCCTTGGGTGCCACACTGAGTGTCTGAACCTCCAGGGTGCTGTTCTGGGACAGCCCTGCAGTTCCCGTCACCTTCACCGTCTTTGGCATGTCCACCTTTCCCTCCACTCGGGCGTCCAGCACATTCTTAAAGCAAAAGTTCCCACTAGCTGTTGGCTCTGCAGGAGAGAGAAGATGAAAGGGGCTCGGCTGAGGGGCATCCCTCTCCCCACTGCCACCACCTCAGCTCCTAATGAGAACTTTGGGCTAGATGACACCTACTCGCATTTGGGCAGAGGAAGGCCGGGTGCCTGGCCCCCACCCCTCAGTTCCCAACCCCATGCTGAGGCTGACCTGCAGGTGAGCTGCCGGGCTCCAGCACGTCCAGGAGGGTGTAGTCAGTGTGGACATAGCGGGCACCCCAGAAAAGCGTCCTCTTCCTCTTCCTCAGCACCAGGCAGAGGGGATAGAAGCGCTTGAAGTCAATGAGACTGTCAAGGGGTATCAGGTCCCCTCCAGGGTTTAGCTGTCTGGCCAGGGCCCGGGTAACATTTTCAAACATGGTCATTGTCTCTGCAGGGGAGAAAGGAGAGCGTCAAAGTGGCTTCCCTGGAAACCAGGGCCTGGTAAGGCCCCTGGCAGAGTGGCCGCCTGGCTGAGGGCAGGAGGAGAGGGAAGCCCTTAAAGACGCCTGGATTCACGGAATGTCAGAATGAAAGGAACCAGAGGAGGTCTCATTTCACGATGAGGCAACTAGGGCTGAAGAGATGAAACAGCTTGTCTGAAGTCCCACAGTCGGCTAGAGAGGCCAGATACCCCCTTTCTTTGTCGAGCGCGCTTTTCTCACTCCACTCTCATTTTCTTCACAGACATGAGCCTGTTTGGAGGGTTTCATTAGCGATGGAAGTAAATCTTCTCACACAGCTGGGCAAACCTTGTCTTCCTCAGAGAACAAACCTGGGGACTCCAAGGAAGGAGAGCAGCCCCCATCTGCTGAAGGACTGGGGAGGCAGACACTGTTCACCTGCCTCAGTGGTCCTTCCCTTAGGTGGGGTGCACAGCAGTGGCCTGCACCCTGGACTTTTCTTGTGCCTCCTCCTGGCCCAAAGGTGTGGATAGACCCACCTCCCTCCAGGGACTGCTCAGTGGATCCAGTCACTTCCATGTGCCTTGCCTTTGCACACAGCACTCCCTCTACCTGGAATACTCCCTCTCAGTCTGAAGAATCCCTTTTAATCCTTTAAGACTCGGTTTGGAATCACCTCCCCTGTGACCCCTTTCCTCACTCCTTCAGGCAGTTAGCGACTCCGCCCTGTGTTCCCAAAGCCCTCTGTACATCCCATTCTGAAACCTCTGTGACTTGATGTTGTTATGATCTGTTCAGCTGACTCTCTTGCCTACTCAACTATGATCTCCCAGAATGCAGGAAATGGATCTGGGTCATCTCTGTAGCATCAGCACCAAGCACAATGCCTGGCATAGAGCTGGAGCTTAGAAAATGTGGGTGAAAAGAGTGAATGAACAAATGAACAAATGAATGAATGTGGCCCTGGAAGACATACGCTGAGGTGAGAGCACCTTGGAGAATGTTGGGCCTGCAAGAGCCCGAGGTTCACCATCTTGGGTCTCTGTCTTTGAGGCTCCAGTCCAGATACTTTAGCTGGGCGACCAGCCAGCACAGCTAGATTATCCCCATGGGTGGAAGAGAACACACCAGCTGTCTGGGAACTGCCTCACCTCCCCTGCGGTACCTCACAAGGGCAGGGAAGCAGGAGCAATGTACACAGCTGGCTGGGCCATTCTGCCAACCACAAGAGCTCCAATAAGATTTTTCACCTCTCATTCCTGGGAGGGCCAGGATGGGATGGATAGCCTCCTGGGGCCAACCAGGTGCACCTGGGAAGGGCTTGGGTGACCGTAGTCTCCTCACCAGAGAGGTGCTCATGGAGCCGCCTCTCCTTTCCCTTCTCCAAGGCATATCAGGATATCTACCCCATTGGTCTCCTGGCGAGCCTAGGCCCTTCTTGTCGCGCCCATCTCTGCTACATCCTAGGGATGCCTCCCGCCTCGTCTGTTCTCATCAAGTTCTTACCAGAGTGTGGTGCTGGGTCCTGTCTGGCAGCTGGGTCTGGGGTGCACAGGCCTAGACAGTCAGGTGAGGGTCCAGGGCTAACTCAGTCTGTAGGTTGAGAGAGTGGCTGTCCCTTGTCAGGACAGGTGGCTTTATGCCTCAGTGAAGGCAGGGATGTAGCTTTCAGGGACCCCGCCTTCCCCATCAACCCCACCCACTCCTGCTCTAATTCCGGGAGAACAGCATTAACCTGTTCCATGTGTGCCCTTGCCCTGGCCCCGGGCCCTGGCTTCCTGCAAGGCTGAGGGGGTGCGCAGGGAGCTGCCAGGCAGGTGCCAGCGTGGTGAGGGAGCCAGAGCTGAGATAGAAGTGGCAACCGAAGGTTGGTGATGGCTGAGAGGGGGGAAGCCACCTTTGGGAGGAGGTGCAGAGAGTGGCAATTGGAAGGATGTATTTGTGTGTGTTTGTGCATCTGTATGTATGTGTGTGAGTGTGAGAGATGAGGGAAGGCATCTCTGTTCCATTATTGTCATGGTCATCAGGAAGAATCTAGGATTCATGATGAGATCTTGTGGGTGTGATAAGGGAATAAGAAATTCTGCATGTCCACATATTCCCAGAGCAGAGAAGCTGAAAAGTTGTCCTCCGTCTTTGTTTTTCAATCTGTGACTCACTACCTCACTCCATTAGTTTTACCCGCATATACATATCTATGGCGCTGCTAGACGGATGTGTCTGTGTAGGCAGAGATGGAGATACTCCAAGGGTTTTCTGTTGTCTAGTGTTTCGTGCCTCTACTCCTCATGGAATATTGTATATGCACATACATGCACACACCGAGGCAGAACCAGAACCAGTTGCCATCAAGTTGACTCCTACTCATGGCAACCCCATGTGTGTCAGAGTAGAACTATGCTCCATAGGGTTTTTAATGGCTGATTTTTTTGGAAGTAGACCGCCAGGCCTTTCTTCCAAAGCACCTCTGGGTGGAATCAAACCTCCAACCTTTCAGTTAGCAACTGATCATGTTAACCTTCTGCACCACCCAGGGACCTTAGGCATCATGAAATTCTTAGAAAAGCCCAGGATGCATGTCTGCAAATGGCAACTCAGATGTCTCACCACAGCTCACTCAGGTCCGGCTCTCATCTTAGGTCCCTGCCTAGAGAACTTTTAAAGGGGACTCTTTAGATTATCTAGATCAGGTCTCTAAATGACAAATTAAGACATTTACAAGCAAAGCTCTTGACACGTTGGGATATGTGGGCTATGATCTGAATATAACTGAGTACTTGCTCTCACCTGAGGCTCTCCTCTGCATCATGACTTATCCAAAAGAAACACAAACCAACCTCAAAAGCCATGAAGGTAGGTAGATCTTTCCTGGGGGTTTTGCTACACTCAGCAAAACTCCTTAGAAACTTCATTACCCATCTTTGTCCTTAAAGTTCTGTGCATTATAGCAGCTGCTCCTAAATCTCTCTTCTCTGACTTAAAAAAAAACAAAACAAAACACTACATAAAACCCTGCCTCTGCTGACTCTCTGGTCTTTTTGTTCACCTCCCTCTCCATCTGCCCTATTCCCTTCTTGTATGATGATCCGCTTCTTTCTCCTTTAGCTCAACAGCTCTTAACTACTACCTTTATCAAACAGCCCTCCTCCTTAGAAGGGGCAGAGTTGAGGGCTTGGGTGTATGGGAAGTTGTCATTCGTCATTTGGTCCTGGTCACACGCACACATGTATGCAGAAATGTGCTGTGTGTGTTGTATTCTTTCCATCTTTATTTTCCTGATACTTCCTGGGTTTCTGTCTCTTCTCTGTATCTGTTAATTAAAAACCCATTGCCATTGAGTCGCTTCTGACTCATAGCAGCCCTGGTGGTACGATGGTTAAGCGCTTGGCTGTTAACTGAAAGGTTGGTGGTTTGAAGCCACCCAGTGACTCCATGGGAGAAAGACCTGGCAATCTGCTCCCATAAAGATTACAGCTTAGGAAACCCTATGTGGCAGTTCTACTTTGTCACATGAGGTCACTATGAGTTGGAATTAACTTGATGGCACCTAAAAACAACAACAAATTAGTACATTGATGTGACATCACTGCAATCCAGCATACAGTCATGGGGCTGTGCAGTCTCCTGTCCCTTAGTCAGCTCAGCCAGAGAAGGCAGCCCTGCTCCCTGCTCTGCTCATCAGCTCACCATTGCCTCCTCAGACGTTTACGAGTTTCTTCCTAGTGTCCACTCTCTTCTCACTGGCTGCAGGACAAGTTTTCCAATCTAGTCCATCTTCCAAAGATCTGGAAGACAGTGGTTTTAAGAAGCCAGACATTTATCTTCTCTCCTTGACAACTCCAAAAGTCTGCTTAGCCAGCTTTCTCTACTCTGACCCTGAAGTCTTGATCCCTTGATTTCTCTCGGCCTTCTCCATTTTCTTTAAACCCAGAGCACTCAACCAGACCTGTCCTCACCTCTCTGTCCCTGTCCCACCTCACTTCCTCCCCATCTGGCACCATTCCCCCAAACTGCTTAATGGTGTTCTGAACAAGCGGCTTTGAGGGTTCAAGGCAGAAAGAAGATACAAGGGCTTGTGGGGTCAGCCAGACTGAAAGCCTTGCTTCATTCCTTTCATGATTTTGGAATGGAAACATCCATGTCCAGGCTTGTCCTCATGCTGCGCCTCCCTCCTGAGATCCAGGATGCTCTGTCTTTTTAACCACCCGCATCAGTACTCTTAGGGGTAGATGGCCCACAGAATCCCCTTAGAGTCCAGTAACTCCTTCTCCTCATAGTCCTAGATAATGCTCAAGAGATTCTGGGATAGAATTTAAATTGTGCTGGAAGAGATTTAAGTTAGACTAACATGTAAAAACTCTTTAGGTCAATTAAAAGTGACTTAATATTGAAAGAGGAGGCTGGAGGTGTATGGTGCTGATGCAGGGGATGAGGAAGCGCTTTCTGGCAGGTGGCGGGGCTTTGCTTTCTGTCGCTCTCTGGTAGTCACTCCATGTTAGGTCATGGGCTATAATCACTCCTGAACTGCAGACCAAGCCTGTGATTTGTGTGTGGTTGGTAGGAGATGGTGGCCAGGGAAGGGAATTGAGTTAGGAGAAGAAGCCCCAGCCACCTGTTCTCTGGGACCCTTAATGCCTCTCTGACCCACAGAGTGCACTGCAGACACTGCAAACAGACACAGAGATTGGGACGAGGAATTGTTTTCTTACCTATTTTCCTATTTATTATTGTTGTTTTTCCTCTTGGGAAGGAGTCAAAGAGGAAAGAGAGAAGGGTAGGCTACTGTAATTCACGAGGGCAGAAGGCACTGACCCTGGAAAGAATGGGAAGAAGCTGGAAGAAGGGTACTCTGGGAGTTACGAGGGCAGGGAGAAGGTTCAGGAAGTAGGGATACGGGTACAAAGCCCACTTTGTAGGGTGTGGATGGCTGGAGCATTTGGGGGAAGTGACCCCTTGCACAGACATACTCTCAGTCCTTCTCT